CTGCTGCTACTACTATTACTAACACTACTACACTACTACTGGTGCTGCTGCTACTACTATCATTACTACCAACACCCAGCTACCGGTACTGGTGCTGCTGCTACTACTATCACTAACACTACTACACTACTACTGGTGCTGCTGCTACTACTATCATTACTACCAACACCCAGCTACTGCTACTGGTGCTGCTGCTACTACTATTACTAACACTACTACACTACTACTGGTGCTGCTGCTACTACTATCATTACTACCAACACCCAGCTACTGCTACTGGTGCTGCTGCTACTACTATTACTAACACTACTACACTACTACTGGTGCTGCTGCTACTACTATCACTAACACTACAACACTACTACTGGTGCTGCTGCTACTACTATCATTACTACCAACACCCAGCTACTGCTACTGGTGCTGCTGCTACTACTATTACTAACACTACTACACTACTACTGGTGCTGCTGCTACTACTATCACTAACACTACAACACTACTACTGGTGCTGCTGCTACTACTATCACTAACACTACAACACTACTACTGGTGCTGCTGCTACTACTATCACTAACACTACTACACTACTACTGGTGCTGCTGCTACTACTATTACTAACACTACCACACTACTACTGGTGCTGCTGCTACTACTATTACTAACACTACTACACTACTACTGGTGCTGCTGCTACTACTATCACTAACACTACCACACTACTACTGGTGCTGCTGCTACTACTATTACTAACACTACCACACTACTACTGGTGCTGCTGCTACTACTATCATTACTACCAACACCCAGCTACAGCTACTGGTGCTGCTGCTACTACTATTACTAACACTACCACACTACTACTGGTGCTGCTGCTACTACTATCATTACTACCAACACCCAGCTACAGCTACTGGTGCTGCTGCTACTACTATTACTAACACTACCACACTACTACTGGTGCTGCTGCTACTACTATCATTACTACCAACACCCAGCTACAGCTACTGGTGCTGCTGCTACTACTATTACTAACACTACTACACTACTACTGGTGCTCCTGCTACTACTATCACTAACACTACCACACTACTACTGGTGCTGCTGCTACTACTATTACTAACACAACCACACTACTACTGGTGCTGCTGCTACTACTATCATTACTACCAACACCCAGCTACCGGTACTGCTGCAACTGCAGCTACTGTTGTTACCACTACTACCTCTACAGCTACTACTACTGCTACTACTACAACTACTACTCCTGTTTCCGCTGCTGCGGCTACTACTACAGCTACTGCTAGGACTGCCACAACATACTTAACAGCATTCTGGGCCCCCAGGCTAAGCATTGTTCTAGGACCCCAATTGTTACCAGTCACAGGAGTGAAATGTAAATAGTCAATAGTGCTAAATATATTTATTTTATTGGCAATTTAACGAAACTGTTGGTAAAAGGTAAACATAGATTAGATCAAATACTGTTTACACCAGTTTTTAGGTTAGTTGCGTATCCTTTACATGACGTTGCATAACCAACCCTAACAGCCCCTGGCTGGTGTGTGGTTTCTCTAGACAAATTTAAGTCCAGTAGCTTGGGATTGCCACTCGACGGTCGGGCCTCTGATACCACTGTCGAAACCAACGCAAGGCGCATGGCCCGCAGCTGGGATCGAACCCAGCACTCCGGCATTACTAAGCGTTCGCATCGACTTAGCCACAGAGCCGACTGTTTACACTAGTAGCACACCAAAATGGGTACAACTGTTTTTCTTCCTCTCTGACAGCTACGCAAAGACATAAACTCAAACAAACCTGCAGAGTAGTTTATTTGTTGTCAAACCAATTTAAAACAAAAATATTTAAAAAAATTTTTTTTTTTTTTACAAAATACAGTTTTCAAGTAAAGTGATGTCAGGACCCCAAGTGATGTCAGTTTCTCCTTAGATGTTAAAAAATCTGATATGTGTCGCTGGGGCGTTTATTCTGAGTGAGTTCTGAGTTCATTATACAGATTACAATTATGGAGAAGTTAAGCTACCTACTCTACCCCGTTATATGATTTAGGAAAATATCTTTGTCGGCTCAGAGGACCCATTATTGGGTCGTAGCTCATAGGTTGAAGATCACTGGCTTAGATGACACAGTATGGAATTACAACGAACTTCTCGAGTATTTGTGGCATTTATTTTCGCATAATTGTTTTATTACTGGCTTGAATCAGCGGTAATTAGGATATCATTTTGCATGCACATGATTGAGCTAGTTTAATTCTCTGAATCTTAAAGGGCTTAGCATCAGAAGCCCAAGGGGTAGCAAACAGAGACATAGAATCGGCGCATCATGCGTGCAATAGGATTTTAGAAAGAAACCTTCAAACGTATGATGCGTTCCTTGGGATTCAAAGAGTTAAACGAAACTGCCCTGTTGTGTTACGAAGCACATATGTGTGTTTTTATAATTGTAGTCTTAAAAAACAAAAACGTGTACCTGTGAATTTAATTACGATCATTAACATGAAAAATCTGAGTGCAGTTTCGACATTTTGGAAACAGATTTTAGATTGTCAAAAATTATATTCTAGAGTGCATGGCAACCCTCACAATTTTCATCCTTGCTCTTCTTCTCAGTCACCAGATGTAAACTCTGACGGAAACTTATGGATGTTCGTCCAATTCTTCGTGAGATACTCACATTCATTCAATAGGTCGTCATGATTCTGTTCTTGTGATGGATGTTAGCCATACGTTGACAATTTTATCCGTCAGTGCATCAGAAGCATTGGTATTCAATTCTCTGAAGCACAGAAAACAGATTTCCAGTCTGTGAATAAGCCTCAGTTCAAAGGTTAGAGTATCCAGAGTAGGGGGGCAAGTTCCCAACTTGAACTTTCCTATTTTACTGAGAGCTACCTCTTCTGACAGTCCTGCTTATCTATCATATCGTTTCTCTACCCCCCCCCCCGCCCCACACCCCACCTTTTTTCCCGGTAACTGCAATCTATTGGCTTTAAAAGTAAAATAAAGATCCCTTTACGCCTTAGGCGCATCGGGCATGAAGAGCACCCATATTTTTTACTGACCAATCGGCACTAGGTGGGTAATGTGGTCAGCACGACGGCCGTCTTTACTTCCCCAGGACAGCCATCCTGGTACCCATTTGAGGCTGGGTCGACCTGCGACGTCCCATACCAAGATACAAATCCACGCAGCCAGCAGTGGGTTTCGATCGCGGTACGTTAGATTATGAGTCTGACTCGCAACGCCTTAGCCACAGACGCCGCTATTACTTTTTACGTTAAATTTACTAAATACATCTCGTTTTCTCGAAATAAGTTTTTAAAAACTCAAATATATTTGTTCTCGATATAACCTACCGGTTAATATCCTTTGATTACAGGAGATCGCTTGTGTTATTTATTTTCTCTAGCATGTCATTTGAAAAAAAAAAAAAAACGAAAAAGTTTCGGGGGTTTCTCATTTTTGTTTTTGCCAATCACTTTGCCTCCGGCCTTGCATTCACCAGCTATTCACTATCTGCGGATAGAGAATACAATGCATGTTTGTGTGCAAATCTCTCTAAACTGCATACATAGCATTTTCGGCATCAAATTATACTGACCATCGTTTATCAGATGGACGCTTGACCACAAACATTATGCATAAAGATGATGGCAATACATTCAAGCGAGGAGATAAACAAGTTAAAATGAAAACCCATGCTTAACAAAGTCAACGAATTGTACAGGCTGAAGACAACTCTCTGTTGCATTTACTCACACCAAGTTAAGACTATGTAGTTCTAAACTTTTGCCATGTTATACTGACCTATAATCTCTAGTAGTTCTAAATAGTTGCCATGTTATGATGACCTATAATCTCTAATAGTTCTAAACTGTTGACATGTTATGATGACCTATAATCTCTAGTAGTATTAAATTGTTGCCATGTTATGATGACATATAATCTCTATAAGTTCTAAACTGTTGCCATGTTATGATGACCTATAATCTCTAATAGTTCTAAACTGTTGACATGTTATG